ACTAATATCAGGCTGAATTACTAAATGGGCCTTTAACAAGTGGGCCCTAAAGCATAGCGTCCAGTTGACGGTACGAATCTGATATGGGCCATAATTTAGCCCAAAGCCTCTTAAAGGGCCAGATCTGATCTGGGCCGTAATTTGGCCCAGAACGTGGTAGGCTTTTAATGGGCCGGATCTCATATGGGCCTTTATTAGGCCCAGAACGTGGCAGGCTGTTAATGGACCGGATCAAATATGGCCGGCATTTGGCCCAAAACATGGCAGCCTGTTAATGGGCCGGCCCACTAGTGTCCTGAAAATCTTGTGGGCCTTTAGCTGGGTCGGCCCATTATGGTCGGTGAAATCTCATGGGCCTTTAGCTGGACCGGCCCATTATGGTCTGCAAAATCTTGTGGGCCTTTAGCTGGGCCGGCCATTATGGTCGGCAAAATCTTGTGGGCCTTTGGTTGGGCCGGCCCATTTAATATCTATGGGTCACTTTTGGGCCGGTCCACGTGTCAACATATCATAAGCGCATCTCGCCCATTGGATGAGTGACACCTGTGCCAACGCGGAGCTGACACGTGGTTCCGTCGGCCAATTAGAATTTTACACGTGGAAAATCGGCATTGGTCGTGGCTGTTAGCGGGTTATCGGATCCAAAACCGGACCCGATAGCTTAACGCGTCCCGTTAAAGTGGATGTCACATGTTGGTCACCCTTGACGAAAGCACTTCTATGACGTGCGATTTATCGTCATGGAAGTGGACACTTTCGTGATGATAATTTTGGTAATATCATGGGACACTTCTACAACAGCACATGTATGACTATCTTGATCCTGTCATAAAATCGTCATGGATGTACATGCATGACAGAAAACGTGACCTACTGTGACAAACATGTATCATCACGGAAGTGTATTTTTTTGTAGTGTTGGGAACCTTGAGTTCCGCTTTGATCAACACAGCGACACCACATGCTTCTGCGCCCGTCCATCACCCTTGGCGTGGGAGGCAAGGCCGACCATGAAAAAATCTCGCGTCGGCTGGGTCTCCATCCACCCGCCAGCCCGCTCAATCTTCCAAATCCCCAAAGCATGTCGGGCCATAAGCTCACCCGACGCGCGGTCTACGTGGTCGCACTGCCCCCCATGAAGTTCCTAGAGTGTTCCAACTCCATGACCTCCTTCCACCGTGTCGATCATCCGGCCTACACCCCCCATCCAGAAAAAGATCACCTTGGTGGTATGTCTGATCATGAAGGGCTTCCTCCTTCCATGATTTCTAATGGATGGTGGCAGTGGAGTAAATATCAACTTCCCCGACGCCTTGACCAAGACAGGGATCTACGGGCTCGACCTGAGCCCTTTGCCCGCCAGCCTCCATGGTTTTGTGCTAAGTAGGCAAAAGTGCCCCACCTCAATTCGTCCTCGCAGATGGCGGTGGAAAGTCCCGAGGATTTTTTTTCTATTTTTTTCTAGGCTAAATGGATTTGATGGCGAAAGGGCGTCAGGTGGGGGGGGCACCAGGCCTCCACACAACCACCCTAGGCGACCAGGAGTTGGCCCGCGTGGCCTGACCGTGTGGGCCCTGGTGGGCCCTCTTTGGCTCATCTCCGGTCTTCGATCTTCATATTGTCTAGAAATAATTCTATTAAATCCCCGACATTTTTGAGCTTCGGAATTTTCTTCTTCTTCTGTTGTAAATTAGGTCTAGATTTCCAGATGTCTAGCAATTTCCCTTTATGTGTTTACCTTGCATTTTAAGAGGTAAAAGACATTAAAATTGCATCATAATGTGAAATATATCAATGAAATAGGATAAATTATAATATGAAATAGTGATGCAAAATAGACATATCATTTACCATATATCCATACCCACTAATCATGATCCATACGATGGATTGTGAGTATACCCATTAGTTATTGACGACATGGGTGAAGTCTTGTTGCTAGTAATCAAGTTGAATACTGTTAATATTTTGATATTATGTTGTGCTGTTGTTTCTCTAGCGGTGTTATGTGAACGTCGACTACATGACACTTCACCATAATTGGGCCTAGGGGAAGACATTGTGGAATCACTTTATAGATGACAGATGGCCG